GCCGGTCCCCGTCTTCCTGGCGCCGCGGGGCGCGCCGGGCCCCTCGGGTGTGCTCTGTCACAGTCACACGGGGGGAACATAAGCAACGGCGTCCTTCGGCTGCCGTTACGCCCCGATTACTCCCGCACCACGCGCGTAGGGGTGCCCACGCGAGCCTTGCGTGGGCTTGAGTGCTGAGCCTGCTACAGCTACCCGAGAGCGACGCGTTACGCTGCGCTTAATGCTGTTACGTTTGACTTCGTGTAACCCAAACCCTGTTGTTTTTTGTCTTTTGTTTTAGTTCCTCTGCGTGCTGAAAACACCTTTCTGACAGAATGGTGGTTTATAAAGATAATCGCCATCTTAAGTAATTTGTGGGGATGATTACCAAATAAGAGGCTATCTTTCAGATTTCAGCGAGCAGATGTACTGGACTGTATCAGAGCAGGACCTTCCACTTATGGCAGGGTTTATCTCCCACCACTGCATGACGAAAGCTTGGAAATCGTACAGCCGATCGGCAAACGTAGTCTGAATATACCTTCCTACTAGCGTCCCACTGCCCTGCCGTTCAGCCTTACACAACAGCTCTCTGAAGCTGTTGAGGGCTAGTTTCAGCTTTGTTACCGTAAGTCGGCAGATTAAAAACTCTCTAAGACTCAGTTCGGAGTTTTAGAAAGCAGGTATTCTTTATTGCAGCGCTGGGCGCACAGGGGATCGCTCCACCTAGTGTGCGCCCCGAGCTGCTCAGCTACAGGAGTAATGTACAATCAGAATATACATATTCATTAGATTCCCAAGAAATTATTAACATATTCATGTTATTTCTTGGAACTCATTAACATATGTAAAAGTCTCTTTAACGCATGCGCTCTTATGTTCATTGGTGGTCTTCCGGGGTCCTCTGGTGGTTGTCGATAGTCTTCCTCACCGTGTCCGCTAGTTGAACTCAGTCTTTTCGCCTGCACAGTTTGTCTTTTGGCCCAGTTGCACTAACTAGCTGATTTCAGCATAACTTCCTTATCTATTCCACCCCTATACACAGAGCTTCAAGGATTCCTTTTATCTACCGAATGTCCAGTCTGTCTATCCACGGAACATTTAGCTACTTTGTTTCGACAAAGAGAACCATATATCTCCGTAGTATTTCTTTATATTCGGTATCAGCTTCATCATCAACTTCCAGGTCAGTTTGTTTCATATTTGTACGTTGACCTTTGGCAGCAGGAATCAGAGTAAGTTTAACATTAGAAACTAAGTTTTCCAGCTTCTCACAACAGGCACTAGCCTACTTTTTGAGGTCTTATCACCAGGTCTAATATCCTGCATTTTGCACAAAATTCCTCAAATCTTAATTGTAGAAGCTACTTCTACTAGTAGGAGCACAAGATGAAAATTTGATGCTCCCTGTTTTTGTTGAGGGAAGATGAGTACTGTTGGTCAGTATGCTGCAGTTCAGCTCAACGTAAGGATAACTAAGCTAATTTTTGCTAACGTTAAGAGATTTTGTACTAGGGAGAAAGTTATTAAGTTCTTCTAAGGCTGAATCAGTAGCTGGGAGAAAAATTTCATGGATTTATTGGTGTTGAGGAGCATGAATTTTTCCATAGAGCTATGTTGCATGATACACACCGGCCAGGAAACCAATGTAATCACATTATTTTTGAGCAGTGGTTGATTTGCACGTCTAAGCTTCATTTCTCAGCAGGTGTGGATAGTGTGTTTTGTCCATAATCATTACAGGTTTTTGAGTATTTTTTTAACAAGAATGTAGGGACATATATGATGAAATCATGTATTTGTGTTTGTCTTTCCCCTGTAGCACAAGGCAGAAAATTGCCGTTTCTGAAATGGTGAGTCCATTTGTTTAAAAAAAACCCCACCAACCATCTAAGGTATAAAAATACAAGATGTCCTCATCACTAAAAAATAAACAGTCTTCCATCAAAGGGGGGGGGAATAAAATAGCAAGTTCTTTAAGTCATTTCCCAGGAGATACATTTTTCCCAGCGTCTTCATGCGATCATCCTGCTGAGTCAAACACACTGATGCCCAAACATGTTGGTGACAAAATTTTTTTCTGGCAAGTAAAATAAAAATAATTACTCCCCTTACTTCTGCTGGGACAGAAGAGAGGACAATGAAGTGGGAATTTCCCAGTAAACTCAGAAGGCTAGTCTGTGGTTACACCTCGTCTGCAGGTGTAAATTGTACGTGCTCTAATTAGATGCATTGTGTTAGGTATAGTTGATACAGGAACTGAAGTTACCTTGAAGAGACCCAACACGTTGGGCTGCTGAGAATCCGAGAGTGTTTGGACTGCAAGAACAGTGACAGATCTCAGTTTAAAGTAAGGGTCATCAGCCTTCTCCCAAGTTCAGATATCCTCCCAGCTGTGTTTCTGCAAAAATACATCCTGATCTAACTAGGAAGTTTAAAATGAGTAGAGAATTATGGAAATTGTCCTTTGCTTCCATTCTTTTTAACAGTCACTTTGTGGGAAAGTGCTGATGTAGGGAATGTCTTTTGCACCCAATTAATTTTCAACAGAGCGAACAGCATGAAAATGAAACTGAGAGTTCTGCTAGCACTTCTGAGAAACACTGATTGCTCTCTATAATTTCATTTTTCATTCCCAAAGAAGAAACTAATTGCAAGGAAAGGAAGGGAGTGGAGGAAATTCACAGGTCAGGAGACTGACAAGGTCTATAGAGATAATACGTCTGACCCCTGTAAGAGAAAAAACATTCTGTTATTTAGACTTGACATAGGCACTAAACTATCAAAACGCAGGCTTAGATGTACCATGGGCAGAAATGTAGGTGTCCAGGAACCTTTACTGTGGAAGACTTGGAGCGGGATTCAGAAGATCTAAAATTTGGGCTTCGGGGCCCACAAGAATATTTAAATACTTAAACTCACATTGTGGATCCAGCTTGTTAAAGGTTTGAATACTTTTGAGTATAGACAGTTTCATTTTCATCTTTCATTGCAGCTGGGAGGTTGTTTTGAGAACCAAGGGTTGGTAAGTGGACAGAACAAAAAGATGCACCTTCTTTTTTTACTTCTTGCCCGTCTTCCTCTGTTTCAGTTTCTTAGCAATGCTCTTTACCGATTTGCAGGTGTTCAGAGGGGCAATGGATTTTCCCAGGAAAAAAGTTAATTAAACTTACAAATAATTATATTAGTATGTTAATGTGTGTTTATGCTTTACTACATTACTTTGTAGCATTTGGATTACTTTATGTGACTAGAAGTTTAAAGGTTGCAAGATAACAAGCATTACTGCATCACATGCTATTTCTTGAAAAGAGATGATCATAAGTTTTCAAGAAAGTACGTGAGATTTTAAAGCAGGCGAAAGTATTTCTACTGACCGATAGCAAATGTTGGCAGTGGAGAATGGAGCCCTCATTTTGGAGTTCAGTTCTTTAACTTTGAGATACGGAGCTCAGAGCTAGAGTCACTGAAATCTTAATTTTTCTCAGGAACTCAAGTGCTGTACTACCCATACAAATTAATTATCACATTTGTCTTTCCAACATAAAGCAGAAATAATAGTATTTTTTGACTCCTTAGTAACGTTGTGTGGCTAACACAGTTTGTATACTTTTTGAGGAGGAATGTAATACCATTCTGTAAACAAAAATGAAACTTCTTAGGCCTTCCCTTATTGTGTCTATTCTGTTGTGTTTATCTTTGATAGTATTAATATGAAGATCTTTTACTTCCAAATCTGTGTGGAAAGATTTAATGTTAAAATGAGTATCATAGCAAGGTTGGGTGTTGATTTGGAATATTGGCTACTCTCAGTTAATAAATAAAGTACGCTCAACAAAACCAGAATTAAAAGCAGTGATGAGTACAGGATATATTAAAAGTGAGTCACAAACAGAAATTGATACTGATTTGGCTATTTGTAATTGCTTTAGGACAAATGAAGAGAAAATGGGAAGAAAGACTGAAGAAAGTGGAAGAACTAGCGTCTCACTATGAAAGAAACCCTCTTCCTCCAGTTTATAGACCAAAACTGTCCAAACCCTTTCTGCCATCCTCTGTTTGGAAAATATTTTGTCGTCAGGCTGAAGCTTTCAATTATGTAAAAACCTGCAAAGAGGTAAGTTGTTTGTTAGGTGAATGTCTCTACTCTTTAGGTACTTTCAAGGTCGAACTTCACTTAAAAGCTTGGTTGATAGTAAACTCTTTATCAGATTGCAAGATTTTTTTTTTCTTCTTTTTTTTCCTTCTTCCCAATCCTGAAACAGCAAGTATTTTTTTCTGTCTTCATAGGAGATCATGCTACACTGGAGGTAGCTCTTAGAAGTACTAGTTCTAACATACAAATTGATACGTGATATGTTAACCTCTAACAGTAAAAGTGCTTTTTGGTAACATGGTAGTGATAGATTTGTTCCTTCTGAAGATGAGCCAGCTGTCGGGGTTGACAGGAGAATGGGAAGGTAGTGAGAGTTGAGTAGGAAGAAATAGGAGGAAAAAACTGAGGGGGGAAAAAAAAGAGAGATAAACAGGAGGCAGAGACAAAATAAAGACAATACTACTTTCCAATGGCATCAGAGTAGCAAGTTCAGATGATAAGAAGTGATGAGCCAAATAAATGTTAGGCAAAATGTATCCTCTGTTTTCAGTTTAATACTTTTCAAATTGATTGCTGCTTTTAAAGAAAGCACCGGGTTTTTCTCCACGCTGTTTTAGGTGTTCAAGTAATCCTGACAGTCTGTTTTCCAAAATGCACTCTCGCTGGCTTGGCAGTAGGTTTTTTTGCGTTTTCTTTTCAGATTTCCATTTTTGGATTTAAATAATACAGAGACTAAAGAATATTTGCTATAAAGCTATATGCTGCCATCATGTCCATAAGGCTGTTCCTTTCAGGACATTGTTCCTCCTTCTGTTAGATGCACTTGCCACTGATCAGAAAAAAGATGACTTTACAGAGAAAACAGAGTTTACATTAATGCACAGGAAAGAAAAGCTTCAAATTTTTACTCATGTAACTGAAATCAGAATGATGTTCTTAATTAAAAACAGATGCTACTTAGCTTAAAAAGGGATAAATGATCTACTTACAGTTTTCTAGTATTTACTAACCTTTGACCAAAGAAATTAATGTCAAATAGGCACTTCTGAAGACTTTAACTGGTTCTTTGAATAAAAAAAAGCTTCAATGTTTTTATTTAAAAAGGATGCTCACGTATTTGCCCTGGAAAAGAACACACAAAGTGGACAGAGGTTTTACCTTGTGACAACATATAAAGAGCTTTGGTTTTATTACACGTGAGTACTTGAAAAGGTACCCTATATGTTACCATAAGATAGTAGTATACTGGATATACTATTATCTAGTAATAGCTGTTACTGGATAGCTATCCGCAGTGGCCATCTGCTGCTCTGACTAGCACAGAGCTGTAACGGGTTGCCTGAGGTTTGATCTTGGCCATGGGGAAAATCTTCATAAGGATAAACCAATCTAGTCTATAGTGGGTTTCAACTTTCTTTTGAGTTGCAGACTGCCATTATTTCCTGGGAATTAAGGACCTCGTTTACCGAACTTAAATCTAATAGCAGTAGATTTGCTTTTACTCAGCTTTCCTCAGGGGATCGTACCAACAGGTGACACAAACATACTTCTATGATTAGTCGTATATCAATTTAAATGGGCATTAATATAAATGTCCGGTTACTGATTTATGGTTTTATATTTGTGTGATGTAGTTTCGAGTATTGACAATTTGATCATGCACTGAACTTATTTTCCCAATTTTTTGTTTTACAATAAAATATTTGGTTATGAAGTAAAAGAAATCTAAGAGTCAATTTTTATATGAAAAGTAAGCTTGATTTTTTTTCCTCAATTTGAAAATGAGATTAATTTTTAATTTAGTTGGGAAAAAAGTCCATGTAATCTTATTTTTAGTGCTTAAGACATATGAGTGATAACTTACTAAATTTTTTACTGTAGTTTCCATCATTCCTTAAATTCTCAACAGCATTTCTGTTGACAGTATGTATTGTAAGACTGGGGGGGTATGGGGAGGCGAAAACTTTACAAACTTAAATTCTAGGCCAGACAAATGTCTTTGTTGATATTTGATGCTGAAGTTAGTTACAAATTTTTCAAAGCATTGTAGGGCTGCTACTTTTTTTAATATGGGTGGTTGATTGAAAAATAAAAGAATATTTAGGACTTGCGGGATCCTTGTTTGCAACTGGTAAGTATGTATAATGTTGTGATTTGTTTTTGTTTTTCCTTAGCAAAGGTTATAAAACAAGTCTTATGCATTGCTATGAAGTAATTCCTGAAAAAGATGCTTGCAAACTTTATTTTGATTTGGAGTTCTACAAGCCAGCAAATCCTGGTGCAGATGGCAAGAGTATGGTTGCGAAGTTAATTGAGGTAAACTGGAGCAAAGTCATGTTGTAGATTCAGTACGAATTTGTTGTTGATTTAATATGAAACCAAAGTATTTACCACTTTATCTTGATTATTCTGTAGTAAAATGAAAAAGAATTGTAGACCTAGTGGTTATTTTTAATGAAGTAAAAAGTACTGGTTTAATTAAAGCAAAGTTTCTCTTTAAGTGAAAAGAAAAAATAGAGAACCACGGTTGTTGGAATGCTTGTATTCACTGTAGGTTTACTGATATGATAAGTTTGCTTTGGCAGATTGTTTTATGTCCTCTGCCACTTCAAAGCTGTAAAACTGAAGGAATGTTTAGGTATTCTTCAGAGTAGCATCAATAAAAGTTCCATTCAGATATTCCTCAGTTCATTTTCTTTGCCAGCTGGTGCAGTCATATATCAAGGCTTAGATAAATCCCTCCTGATTTTAGGTGTCTTCAGATGGCAGCTCATTGTAGTTGAGTTAAATGATGATGTAGAGAACATCAGGTGACTGCACTTACCAATTTGGTACCTAAAGGTAAATATCTTTGCTAATTATCAATTTTATTAAATAGCGCAAATTTCCATTTTATTGCAAATTTGGTTGGAGAATGAGCTCTGCTGCAAATTCAGTATGACAGAGGTGGAAAATAAAGCAGGTTTTTAGAAGAATGTCTTCTGTTCCAATAAAATCTCTTTGTGAGTGGCCATTTGTGAGACTTCTGACCCTTGCATGTCCCTAGCTAGAAAGGAAAGAAAGAAAGAAAAAGATGATTGAGGTCGTTCCTTTGTAAAGAACCCTTCACTGATACAGAATCCGGAGGGGTTTACTCCATTGCAGATCAATTCTGAAATCTAGAGATTCCTCAGGATAAGAAGAGAACTTTGGATTTGCTGCGTAGGGGATCTGAGATACTAAAATCCTAAGCTTCCAGACCGTTAGGTTCTGAGTCCCAGTCCTAAACATGAGTAATCACAAGCTTAGCTTATAGAGGGGTTTTAGAGCTATTTTAGAGCCAGACATCTTATGTTTTCTGCTTAGTTAGTGTTCATTGGGTCATACCAATGAATTAGCTAAATCAGCAGTGAATTAGCATACCAACCTTTATATCATGATAGCTTCTATCTTCCATTCTTGGTAAGCCTGCATTACAAACATTGTCACTGTGGGTGTGAACTGCTTTGTGTGGAAAAAAACAGAAGATAAAGCCACTAAATTAGACTTCAACCTGAAAAACTGAAAATCTGCTCAGTTTATCACTGTTAGTATATACAGTGACTTGCTTATTTCAGGAAATAGAGTCTATGTCAAATTTGGTTAAAATTTGCTATGTCATGAGTTAGTTTGAATTAAATTAATTGTATGCATTTGTGTTGGGTTTTATAGATACCACTATTAAAAATGCTAGAGAAAATAGCCTAATTAATGTTTATAATTTCAGCTTGTCAGCCAAAAATTAAAAGAACTTTATGATGTAGATTGTTCCGCCAAAGATGTCTTGAATTTAGATTCCAGTACTGATGAAAAATTTAGTCGACACTTAATATTTGTACCCCAAAAGACTGTATTTAAGGATAATACTCATATTGGTAAGTGCGTTCTTTTCTCTTACACCTAGAAATAAAAGGTGAGGTTTTGACTTTGTACAGTGCCATCTCACATTTGAATATTTATTTTAATGGAATTATATGTGGAAACAAATATGTATTCCCAGCAGAAATGACTACCTATTTCTATTTCATTAAGCCTTATTATTTCTCAACTCATCTTCTACTTCCTTTTTCTGTAATCAGCATTCGTGTTTGCAAAAATGTAACTTTTTTTGTGCCTGTATCTTTTATTTATGAAACTACTGGCAAGACTGGGTTTTGGCTTGAAAATTGTTTTACAGGATGACTATGACGCCTTAATTTTCAGGTTAATGTCAGTCTTAACAATTGAGGCTAAGATTATGGGCTCTAAATACAGTTGGTTTGTGCTCAGCACAGGGTCAGAAAGGCAGGACAAAGATGGTTTCAAGCCACCTGTGCATAAACATGATTAAGGGAAAGCTGAAAGCAATTTTAATTGTTGATACAAGTTGGGATTTCATGGGATATGGCAACTCCAACACAAAGGATTGCCAGTTCAGGGTTGTCTTGACTCCATTTTAAAAATAGGTATAATAATGCCTCCTCACTTCACAGAAGTATTTTGAACATACTTTCAAAATACTGTTTATGAAGCACTGAGGTGCTAGTGGTGAGCATTAAGAAAAGTTAATGCTGAAATTAATAATTTCTTCCTCTTGTATATATATTTTGTATGGTGTGCAGTAAAGCAGGCTTATAGACATACATTGAACAATGAAGGCACCACAGAGTATCAGCTGAGTTTTGTCCGAGTGAAGCAGGAACTGATGGAAAACAGCGTGCCCAGTGGTGGAATTAAAATCTGTATCAACCTACAGATGCAGAAGTTTGGGTTATTTAACATTGCACTTGCAGCCTTGGTTTTGTCATTTCTTAATATTTGAGTGTTTGATTTTGTAATCTTTGTTCTTTATTGTGTTTGTTTCAAACAAACAAATAGGGTGAGGGAGAGGAAGCAGAAATGCTATTAGAGAGTACCACATTAATAATCTCAGGGGTTATTAGAAGGGATGAAATTTAGATTTGTGACATTTAGCTCTACCATTTGTGTTCAGGAGCAGCAGGACTACGTGTATCGGAGAGAAAGAAATTACGAGCTTTGTTACTGGGTTTCCACTGGTAGTAGAATAGGAAGAGTCGAGGATGTTGGGTTCGTAATTTTGGTCCCAGTCAGGTTCCCGCTTTTATTCTGCTGTCTGCTTGGTCACAGTCTGTCTGACTGTCTTCATGCCCAGTCTTCCTTTTCCTTTCTCACCCTTACTGCTTTTTCTAGCTCTGCACCTTCCCTCATTCCAGTCTTGAGTAAGGCTTATACTGTATTTCTTCTTTTTTTATACCTCCTGTGTTTTTTAAGTAGCTTCTTACTGTGCACTGTCTATGTCCTAGCAGGGGATAGTAGAGAGCACAGGGAAGATGCGCTCTTTGCTTTTAGTGCTTAATGACAGCACAGCTGACAATAATGACACAGCGCTGGGCTTCTTTCTAACCCAGTACAGCATTAGAGAAAATCTTATTTTCCTTTTGAATTGTCTAGTTATTTCATGGGGAGAACACATGTACTGTTGGATCAAAGTTGTGCAGGGTTGACACAAGTTTTGTGTTGCTCTGAGGAATCATCTATGAAAGGTCTTGTCAGCATGAACAGCTGGAGGAGTGAAGCAAACTGTAAGGAGAGGCTGGATCTTGTAGGCCTGCGGGCATGTACGAAATTTTTTTCCCCAAATATTTTTAATAAATATACGTGCATGATCCATGGCCTAAACATCACTTCAGGCCAAAATTCAGAACTTTACTCCAACACAGAGGCCATAGGATTTCTCAGAACCTATTTTTTTCAGCTTTTTTTAACATTAAAAAACCTATTTCTCATTCTTAGGAGCAGTGGAATCTGTGTCCCTAAACCTTTTGAGGAGTAGCTGACATGGCAAGCTAAGCAGATTGTCAAAGTTATAACCAAATGCTGATAATATTGGCTGCCAACCCCAAGTGTGACACAGAGCAGTTATTTCTTGTGTGACACCGTGGTAACAGATACAAACCCCGAAGACTTAAAAGGGATTACTGCAATTTTTAGTTCAAAAGTATGGTCTTTAACTCCTCTGCCACTATAAAACTCTGAAGTAATACACGGGTGGTAAATAATTTGGTATGACAGCAATTTTAGCCTGTGAACTACATTAGTCAGTTCTTTCGGTAAAAGCTTGAACTGTTTATTCTAGTCCATTAGTTAAGTGTTCTCTGTCTCCACCGTGGTGTGAATTTCACGTTTACTGTCAGACTTAAAATATATTTAGAGATTGTGTATTCATGTTCTGCCTTTGCCTTTACTGTGACTTCAATATCTTGTTCAAAAAACTGATTTTTTATAATTAAGAGATGTAAATGTTGAATTTTTTATAATTGAGAGATGTAAATGTCAGTGCTAAATTCATGCATGTTACCAATAATATTACACTCTAGACTTTTCATTAATGCATTTTAGTAACCTGCTTGACAAACCTGGCTTAAAGCATATTAACTTTGTACTTTGTGCAAAATACAATGCTGTAGTAAATAACTAAAAATCCAGATAACTTCATAACATAATTTCACAGAATCTATATGAAAATAAATATATTCTTTCAGGTGATGTTCAGGTGATGGAAAGATTTTGTCTAATATTAAACTTAAAAGGGTTAGTATACTTTTCAGACACATTCAAGTGTTGCCTTTTTAAAAAATTCATCATTGTGGTGTTCTGTCTAATAAAAATTACTTTGCGATGAGTTAGTGGTATTTATGTGGGGTAAACTAGAATATGAACTATCACATCTTGGATGATATAGTTTCATAAGCATTTTATGTCAGGAGTCATGCACAAAGTGCATGGGCTTAAAATGAAATATGATTTAAAACATTTGGTATATAATACTTGGAATTAGTTACTAGTTAGAATTAAAATACAGGGACTGAGTTCATAGCTCATGTAAGAAAGCACAGGAGATCGTGTAGGTCCACGGGAAAGCTGTGGAGATCAATGAATTTACTTTGATCTACACAGCTGACAAATCCCGAATATAAAAACACAAAATACAGTCAAGGGTCAAAAGTGTGAAATGCTGGGTTTGGTTCCCACATCTGACCAGTTCGAAGAAATGGGAAGAGAGAAAACAAAGGTGTGTGTGAACGATAAAAAACTAACTCCCAAAATAATCTTTCACTGACAAAAACCTTGCTATTCTGACACCAGAGTGATTGTTACTTAATTACACACAGAAAAAAAGGAAGTGGTCAACCAGGACTTTTAAAGATACTTTAACTTTTATGGTAATTGAAATGAACTTCCGTTCTGAAGTAGGTACATTTTCTCCCCGAACTGAAGATCCGAGTAACTACTGTTATAAACCTAAGAAATTCTGTGTGCATATTTGAACACACAGGGTTAAAACGCTGTCTATGACTATGAATCATTTGTGTGCCTTAGTAGTCCTGTAATGAATTATGAGGATGGTGATATTAATGCTTCATACTGAGTCATTCTGCTGATACGTAGCACAAGAGGACCTGTATTTCATATTCTTTCAGGTTCCCCCCATCGAAGCTTCAACTGACGACTGCAGAATCCTCCTTGCTAGTACTCCTTCCACTTCGTAGTTTTTCTTCCACATCTGTATTTCTTCTCTTCGTTCTCCCTGCAAGCAATTTGGCCATGGTTTTCATTTGTCTGTCTGTCTGTCTTTGGTTACCATCTAGCGGAGCCTGGAGTACAGTGGGGGTTGGATTACAATACTCGGAGTTTGAAAAGCCATTGCAAAATACTTTTGTAAAAGTAATTTGTTGTTTGAGTAAGCCCTGGTCAAACTGTTACATCAGTTAATATACCAGGAAGCTGCAAGTAAACCTTTTTAATTATTCTGAAAGTGAAATTAGGGAAAGCAGTAGTGAGAGGGACAATCACAAGCTCTTCAGAATCCTCAATCTGTTAATGTCATCGCATGCTGTCATTAACTACTGCAAAAATATTCAGCTAAACGATTAAAAACTACCTATGATTAGATAAAAAAATAAGTTTTGTAATAGCAAAGCTGTATGAATGCTTTATTCATGTATTGAAGAGTTTCACTAAGTGGTACTTGAAATAGTAAATCAAACTACATTTTATAAAGGACCTTGACTATTTTACTTATTTTTTGATATCACTGTCATTAACAAAGTGGTCCTACATTAAGCATTTTAATAAGTCTTACTGTAACAGCCTAGTTCATATGCAGAAATGTTCCTGCTGAGCTAGCACGAAGACCCAAACTGAACTTGTTCAGCAAGTTTCTGACATTCTAGTGGAAAATTCAGGTTGACAGAAATTTCAGTGCAAAAGTCTTCCTCGTATTAATCATCAAGTCAAGATCACTCGTGCTCCAAGCATGGGAGCAGCTTGAGATCGTGTCTGTCAGAGGCTTTAATAACTGCAAGGGTACAGGTGTGATGGGTAGGAGAAATTCTTTTGAAGGATACAAAAGACATTTTATTCAATTTTGCATTTTTATCCGGGACTTTGAATTTAGTTTGGGAAATTGTAGTGACAGCCGATGCATTTCCGTTTCGTTATGTTGTCTTTATTTCTAAAGATGTGATCGCCAAGCCAACTCGCTTCTCAGTTCTCTCTATTCTCAGTAGTAAAATTGCAAAGGGAAAGATTATGGCTGTATGATACAATTAATATACGCAAAATTGTTTATTTTCTCATGTTTTAAAAGAAAAAAGTTTAGTAAAAATTCTTGCCAAGCATGGGTTTCTTAGTTACTAAGCAGAACCATTTTGTGCACTGGGCTGGTCCAAAAGATTTTTTTAAAAAAATCCAGGAGGGGAGAAAAAAAAACCCAACCCAAACTCCAACCACTTCCATCTTGGCTGTTTTGAAAAATGTTCGCACAGGAACTAAGTTCTTTCTCGACTCATAAATGACGTTATCGGCTCCGGGGGTTTTTTTGTTTGTTTGTTTTTAAGGTAACTTTGTGAGAACCATTCTGCAGCCTGCCCTAAGGTTAATGGAGAGTAAGGCTGCTGTTGTGATTCCAGAAGAAGGAGCAGGACATGTTTTCCAGTGTTCTGCAGAAGCAGTTGGATTAGATGGTTCTCTTATAAACCTCACAGCCATCGAAGATGCTTCCAAAGGCTGGCCAGCCATTGCTCGGGAAACAAAGGATATGGAAACATCACACCAGGGAGAAAATTCATTTTCCTTTCTAATAGTAAATAATAAAGAAGGAGACAAGCAACTTTTTGTGGATCTAGGTAAATATAAGAAGTGCTTTTAAACCTCTTTGGGATGCGACAAAGGTTAAGAAATGAGATGTTCCTTAATCTTTGGTTACAGGCAATAAGAACAACAGTGTTCTTACTGTTGTCCCTATGGTCAGAACGTAAACCAAATACAATACGTGCTGAAACTGTCATCATAAATGCTGTACTTTACTTTAAAGCAGCCTTAGATTCTTGGTCCATGGAACTTCTTATATTGCTACATTTAATGATTTTGTTCTGAAGTTTGAAGAAACTCTTGCCACACAAGACTCTCTAATTAATTTTGTTCCTAAGGACTTAGTGCTCCTATTTGGATTAAAAGAGGATAGTATATATTGGATTTTTGTCATTTCAGCTGAATTAAAGTTGTTTAATTATGGAATGAGTCTTACAGGCGTGGCCTTCTGTATTGTTCTATGTGTGTGAATTGAGCCTTCTTCCCCTGTTTGGAATGGCAGTTGTTAGGTTTTAATGACGGAGTAATAGAAATTTTGGGTTGGGCACTTCATGCCCCAGTTGTGCTTAGCCTATTCATGGTATTAAAATGTTGGAAAGCTCCAGGAGCACAATACCCATAGTCAAACTAAAGTTTGAAAGTTCCGCCCTTCCCCCTCCCCGTATCGGGTTTCTCTGCTTTTTTTTCACTGTCTCAGTGAGATGAAAATAGCTTAGCATGCTTTTGTACAGCAGTGCGTTACACACTTGAGGACTGTTTATCATGTTTTTTCTCAGACTTCTCTGGAGAACCCCCACTCCTTCAAATTCTTATGGAATTCAGGATCACTTTTATTGCTGGCCTCTTCAGTATGTCTGATTTGTTGAAATGTAATCCCAAAGTTGGCCCTCTAATAGAGGCTTCTCCGTTACTGACGCAGAAGGATTACTTTGCGCCTACTGTTCAAAATTCCTTCAAGCATATTCGTGAATGGAAATTAAAGAAAAACAAATTGTTTACTGTGTCACTTCACCTTTTAAGAATTTGATGTTAGTCCCCAAAAATTAACCATCCTCAATATTTATGTTACACACATCACGTCAAAACTGGAAGGCTAAAATCAAAATAGCTGGAATACTGAGTTACATCACAAGGCTGCAGTGATGGAAAGGGACGTGACGTTCTTGTTGTACGAGATCTTTTAATTCCTTTATCTTCATGAAACCCACAAATGATGCACCCACCTCCTCAAGACATTCTTAGACAGATTAGGCAATGATGTTTACGATACCTGTTCATTTTTTTGTTGTTTGTTTTTGAGATGGGAATTAAATTTTCCTGATACATACTTCACCGTATACTACACACAAGTGGTGTCTGGTACACAAAACCCAGGAGGTTTGATGAATATGAAGTGCTGGTTAAAATAATTGTGTAGCTTTTTATGCTCAGCTGTATTTCACAAAGTTAATGTGAAAGCACCATTTTTTTATACTGAAAGAAACTTTTAGTAGTGATAATGGCAGAATGATTAAAATGCCTACGTAGAGGTGATGAGTGTTTCTTAATTCTTCGATAACATAAAAATGTACATGTGTGTGATCCTGCTTTGTTGCATTTCTTCTATGGGACGTGAGCTGAAGTCTTACTAAGAGTTTTTGTCCATTCATTGTTTCATTTACAAGTACTAAGTATCTTAAATCCTAGCCAGCATTGTTATGTTAAGTAGTACTTGTTTTCCTGCAGGAGTTTATACAAAGAATAGAAATTTCCGGATGTATAAATCATCAAAAGCAGGAAAAAAAGTGATTCTGAAGATAGCAGAGGATAATAAGTTTGTCCCTAACTGTGAAGAGAATGTTTCCTTGGAGGAAGCATATTTTCTTTCCTCTTTGATCTGCAACATCAGGTAATTGTTTAATTCTGGTGGAATTGAAAATATTTTAAAGTACATATTTTAGACATTTTTGTCCTGCAGCAGTTACAAATAACTACTATCAATGGGCAGTTATTTCGTGAACATTGTTACAGTGTAATTTAGGAGTTTCCAGTAGAACTCCTTGTTTTTGAAGAAAAAATTTCTTCGGATTTTTTTTTTTTGCTTTATTTTTCCTTAACCTACCTCCAAATGTCTAAAGAACACAGAACATGTGGTACAGCTTCTGGGTTGTGCCTCATTTCTCTATACACACTCAAAATGCCAAAATGTAACCATTATTAAGTTTGGTTGGATTCTGTATAGTTCTGCAAGGAAAAATTACAGCTTTCCAGTCAATTAAATAGGAAGAGTTTAAATATTTTCCAAAGTATGATAAAAAAAATAAAAAGGCTTTTTGTACACGTTTACTTGCATACCAGATTTCCCATTTGGTACAGATACCTCCTTAGGCTGGATACTGGTACATATAATAATCAAGTTTTCTGTATCTAATCTAAACCTCTGATATATCTTGCCCTGCACCAACTGTATCTTAAGATGATCCTAATCGTTACTGCAGCAGAAAGAAGGTTAAAATGGTACATCCAGTTGTATGACATTATGTATAATAATTTTATTAAAAACATGTATTTATTGTGACTTCAGTTTTTATAGCCTGACATGTTCATTATCCTGAATTGATGCCCGTAGCCCCGTAGCATAAATCGTGTAGTGTGTTCAGATCATAGGTATCAGCTGAGTCTGTCATAAACACAGGTGAGAAATTCTGCTATGTGATCACCTGGCTTCCAGCTCGTAAGAAGGCAAGGAAGAGTAGTTCATTGTAGAGAGAGAAGAAAAAATAAATTGAAAACTTTCAAAGGGTACATATGCATAAATATTACATCTAGAGCAAATACCTTTGTAAGAGTAGTACAGCAGTACAGCAGACCAGCAGTCTTTAAATGGCTGGATCCTGGGATTTTTGCCAGGAACCAAATTGTGCTGTTCTGAAGGCGGAGGCCTTGCCCTCTGCTGGTACAAATCAGAGGAAACCGTCAAAATGAGAAGAAAAAGTGCTACAGGGATAGCGAAAGGTAGCATACAGAATCACAGACTGGTTGAGGTTGGCAGAGACCTCTGGAGTTTGTCTGGTCCAACCCCCCCCCCCCTCAAGCAGGGCCACCTAGAGGCGGTTGCCCAGGGCTACGTTATGTCGTGCTGTAAGAATCACACATTTTCTTTTGTATTCTCTCTTCAGAGCAAGGGATGACACAAAAGTTCTGTCATCTGGCTTTTCAGAGGAGGAGAGAAAAATGTCCGCTTTTTTAAACAGTAAAACTACCAGAAGCAGCAGAGGTACCTCAAGCCTTTTCTACTGTATAGAAAAAAAGTACTCTCAAATTAGATGTACGGTGACTTACACACCTGATAACCTCTAGGAGAGCTTTTCTTCAGCTAGCTTTCTGCAGGCAGCAGAGTACAGCTGTACTGAAGGATGCTCTGCAGCACCTGAATGCTATTTACCCTCTTCTCCCGCTCCCACAGCTGTCATGCTTTGTTCCAGTTCCCTCTGTACGTGAGGCCAGGGGGGTGCAGTTTAAAGATCTGCAGGAGATTAACACTGGATTTATCCCTGGTTTTATTTAAGGATTTGGTGTGATTCATGTACATTTTCTGTCTGTGGTCTATATAATGTGTAACAATTACATATTACAGTGACAAAACCACTTACAGTATGTATTTGTGGTCTTGTTGTAACAGATTCCATGGAAGGCTATCAGGATTCACCATATCCAGAAATTGATTATTTTGTTCGCTCTTTGGTTAATAAAGATGGGGTGCAAGGAGGTAAAGACCACTCTACTATTTACAAATGAGTATTCCGCAGCAGTATTTTTAAAGAGTTAATCTTTCCCCCCGCCCCCCCAGGGATACGGCGATGGAATTATTTCTCTCTGGAAGAAATACTTGTATATGATATTTCTGGTTACCGTTGGTGTGAAAATATTGGAAGAGCTCACAAAAGTAACAACATAATGTATGTTCTTTAACTATTCACTTTAAAACAGCTTTATTTATTTTCCTGCTCTACTGTTATTCTGAAAAATGCTGAAAAACTTATGGATAGAATCAGCACCTGTTACAATTTCTGCTCTTTTGCTCTGGGGGGAATACAACAGGTTGTTTTTCTTTAAAAAAAGCAAACTTCCCCCCCCTTTACTTTGTGATAACTCAACGTGTAGTTCCAGTATCTCTATGAAGTAATCTTCATGCTATTTAAAAGGCGTGTCTAAAGGTGCTAACATACAAGTCAGAATATGTTAAAGCTATTAGGTGGTACTATACTTTGATGCTTCTTAGCTAGGAAGCTGAACAATCAGAAATAAGATAAAGAAAACAGCCCACTTTTGTGGTCTGTGATGAGTTTTGCTAGTGACTTTAGAAATATTTTAATTTAAAAATAATTCTACATAACATTTAAAATAACTGAATGATAAGGAACGTGTTTTTGAGAAATACAGGTACAAAAAGAACCCCCCACAGCCACTACGCTAGATGAACTTGGGTGTTTCTAAAGCACAGCTGAAAAAGCTGGGTTGTCTAATCAGTTGACAGGAAACAGTGATTTTATCTGGCTTTTATAATGAAATTACCTCTAACAGCAGCAACAACAAAATCTTATCTTAGAGTTAGGTCCCACATACTAATCTTACTTTAATGACTTTTTCTTCCAAGCTTAATGTAAAGAAGTTGACTAAATTTCACTTTCGAACGTTAGTCTTAAAAGAAATACATTTTTAACTTAAGCAGCCTGAAGTTTGTTGAAAAAAATAAGACTGTACAAAACAAGTATGTAATAAGTATGTCAGAGTATGAAAGCAATAGCCATAGATGGGGACAAACAAACTGTTCATTTAGTGTCAGAATTTCCTACTGTATGCATTCACTTCATTTATGTACTGTTACTAAAAATGAAATTATTTCATTCTTAGGATTGTGGTAGATCTAAAGAAGGAAGTCTGGTATCAAAAGTGTCACGATCCAGCCTGCAGAGAAGAAAACTTCAAATCACAAAGTATGTATTTTGTGATTTCAAAGCAATTACACTTAATACTTTTTGGAATGTTAACTTTAATTAATGCCATATATTTGATTTAGGTTTTCCATTACCACCTCGGATATGTCTCCCTTTTCTTTTCAAAGAGGTATGTTTTTGTCCTATCGATATGCTAAAGTTCTTGTGAGTAAAGCTGTCTCTGGAAGTCATTGAAAATCCCCGCTAACACAGTCTGTTGAGCTCCAGACAGTAGTTACACTGCTATAGAATAGCTCCCCAGAGCAGCTGCGCTGGTGTGGTAGCTCCGTATATTCATTTTTAAGTTCTCCAGCAGCAGATCTAGCACAAAAACCGTCAGCACAGATAAAGCTAAGTTGCTGGAATAGCCTAACTTCACTTGGGACTAAAGATTTTCTTCTGTTTTGGTCTGAACAGCAGTTCCCAGTGCATAGACCACAAGACCACTACAGGTACAGAACAGAAAAGCTGCCCAAGTTACGCTCTGCTGTGCACATTTGACTTCATGCTGGGCCAGCTGGAACACCTGAGTCAGTCAGCATCAAATTTAAGTCAGTGACCCTCAAATCTGAAGTTCACTTAACTCCTTTAATAACACATTTTAGCGTATTAAAGCAGTTATGTTTACCCACGTGGGTAACCTGATACTGCACCTAGATTCTAAGCCCTGAACACAGTAGTTTTTCCACTGAGTAGACAATACGAATTGACCTCTTTGCAACTTTTAAATTTACACTTTATGCTTTTAAATTTCAAACTGCAGAATGGCACATTAAGCTCTGCTTAAGCAGATCATCAATAACTATTAGTGTTATTTCATAGAAAACGTAATTTAAATGCGTTTTCAGATCCTGACAGTATCTGTAAACAGACATTAAAATTAGTTTTAACCTTGTATTATTTTAAGAAGCTGTACACAGCAGGCTACTCATAGTTTGCTAGAAAACCAGCAAATTTCTATTCCTATTCAAACAGGCTTCCACAGGGTAACCTGGCTATAAATTAACCTGCTGGAAAATCTGTCTTGTTGGCCAGCTTTCTATAGCATCCATTATATATGACAGTGCGAGTTTCAAACTTTCAGATCAGAGCTGGTAAAGGTATGAAGACCATTTGCATATGGAATAAATAGTATTCTTGTTTGTAAAAGGAAGAAGAGAATACACTAATGAATGCAAGGGGGAACACAGAAGAAAAAGTAAAACCACATTCTAATGCGCCAGACTTGTCAAAAAGCTCAGTATCTCTAGAAAAAAGCTTGCCTCAAGACTTCCTGTTGCCAGACAGCGAGTGGGACAACGCAAGCGATGATGCCCGTTTCCTAGAAGCTACTGAAGATGTGGAACTAGCTGAAGCTGCAAATGATAGTCTGAATTATGCCATGGAAGAAATTCCCGATGAAGTTCTTTTGGAAGCTTCAAGGAAACAGGACACTTGCAATAAAGGAGGCAGCTAACCACAGACTTGGCTAGCCAACAGACCGCTAGCAATGAAACCTGCTTTAACACAATGTGCATATCGCACGCCTTCTGTGAAAGACACTGCGATGTAGTTCAAAAATGCTCTTCCAGAGCTGTAAGACAGAGAACTGAGTAATGAACAAGTATCCTCACAACCAGATGATCCTCAGCAAGCATGAGGAGATCCTGGAAGATTACATGAGGGCTGAAGAGTACTGGACTGAAAACTCGTCATGAATGCTGCTCCAAATTTAGCACTTCTAACACTCACTGCTGCGCGGTTTCTATTTTATTAGCTCTGTGTCCAAGTTCTACTCATAAGCCAAGTAAAATAGATTTCTTTACTTCCAGAAATGGGAGGAAATTATTTATTTCAAATAACATTTAATAAAAAGATTTGTCTATCAATAGTTCAACCAATGTCTATGTGTTCTCTTTTAAAAGTGTATATTGCTTTCAAGATGACATTACTTCAATAGCCCAAGATTAAAAACCAACGTTGTTAACAGAGCACAGAAAAGTTTTACTACTTTAACTGGAATTACTATTTCATTAATTTCACTGACATTCTGAGTAAGTTCTCACACAGGCTATTTGACAACAGAAAGATACAATCTCTGATTAAGTCACTGACTTCTTTTAAACACTGAAGCAAAATACGGCAACAATGATTAAACAAGCTTTAAGCACTGACCATTCTAATAATTGTTCCTAACGAATGTCAAAAAGTCTATTAAAAAACACTTAATGTTTCTTTTATAACTTCCCTCTTTGTACAGCCAGAGCTTCTTCCAGTTTCATATTAATATTCTGAAAGTGTCCTTCCGCTCCTAGAATTCTCCGCGACTCCACCAGAAGAGCAGGTAGGCTGGAAGTTCCATACTGTTGTTAAGGAAATAAAATTACAAGGCAACATTTTTAATTCTTGGAAAAATCACTTACATATCTGTATTTATTTTTCCTCTATCTGAAAGGATGCAGCGTGATTTTTAGAAGTGAAGAAGAGCCAATATTAGAGAGTCTTCTGAAATGATAGGATTTCCTTACACATGGCAGGCATGTAGCGTTGTCAACAGAAACCACCATGCCGGGTCATGAGCCCCGGTAAAAGGGGGAGGAGTTCTAAGACTACAAGAGAAGTTAATCTGGTCATAAAATACAAGCGCTGTTCTTAGCATTAAATACCGTACAGAACAGACGCGTATGTACCAGAGCTTTCCCTACCTTTGAACAACAGCAACAAAAGAAATGGATTACTTATTTCTCACTGTTAATCTTTCTTCAATTTCTATAAAAAAGTTAGACCTGAGGACAACCCTTACACTTCTATGTCCTTTGAATTCCTCGACATAGACAGCAAGGTAGCAGAATCCTCTCTGAAATACTTCCATTTCTAACATGAGACCAAAAAAATGAGTGAGATACTGCAGTACAGTTACAGCAATGGTTCTCAAGTTGCTTCCACAAAGACACTTAACAAAACACTGCTATTCGATGTAAGTTAAACATTAAGAGAAATGCCCATCAGTCCAGGGAAAAAAAAAAAAAGGGGGAGGGACTGATCCAGAACAGTTCAGAAACACACACAAAAATATGTACTTACTACCACTTTTTCTTTGGGGTTTTCTTCTCTATAATCCAAACAGCCTTGCTGTAGCTCCTTTAAATCAGTAAGTAATTCAGTTGCCTGCCTCAAGGACGATCTCCTTTCCTGTATCTCAGCATATTCTCTTTGTAGTTGTATCAGTTGTGGTTCAGCTCTGAAAAAGATCAAGGCTTCGATGACTGTATCTGCATATTTATTTCATGCGTAACGATGAACATACTTCCTCTGAAGAAGACTTAAGGGAAAGGTTGGTCAGAAATACAAAACGTAGGTTAGCGTAACACCCTGTTTAATTAGAATAACTAGCTTATTATTTAAACAGGAGCACGGGTCCAAATCCACAAGAAAACCCCAAACTTTTTTCCACATCTCACTTTTGAATCTGACGAAATAGCCACTCTCTCTTAAGCACATAAGTTTTTCAAGTGAAATTTCTTAAGTACCTGGTGTTCTGCTTCTGCACACACCTGCTTGCAGGCTGAGGTGTTCAGCGCTTGTGCTGAAACATACTCAGGACCTACACACTAGATACACCTCTGCCCAAGTAAACTGGAGGGCTCAATCCGTTAAATTAGTACTCCAAAAACTGAACACCAACAGCCATTTCATTTAACGGTGTTGCAGCAAAAAAGCTTTCTTAAGGTGATCAAAGGTTTAAAACACAACAAATAAAAAATGTGACGACAGCTTTCAATCTGTGAGGGGCTTCAAACCCATATTGAGGGACGCCTTTCATTAGTTCTTTGAGTGAAGTTTGTCCACAGTACTGCAAAGAAAACAAGAGTCTCATGGCCACAGAGAAAGGGCTTTTCATCTGCCTTTGTGGATCCAAGCCCACGGCTCCCTACAGAGTTAACTTACCGCGTGTATGTTATATGCAGCTTCAGTATAAAGCTTGTCACTAGTAACCAACTGGATTTGGGGAAGTCTAACGGTTCTTCTAAAGAACGTAATTTCTGTGTTGTGTATCTAAATGATACTTAAGATTAATGCCAAGTTAGAGAAGTGGAACTGCGTGGCCACATGAGATGGAAGCAAACATGTAGTCAGAGGCATCCCTGCTAAATTGCAGTGGTGAAATACATTCTCCCACCTGAAAACCAAAAAAGCCCTCTGTATTACTTTTGTAGATTTATGATTCATCACCTCTGCAATTCCAATTGTAATGTTAGAGTTTTTCTTACGAACGTATGGTCTGAAATACCATCCCAGTAACTAGTTAGCTAAGAGAACTTGCAAGAATTACTATCTAGGCAACCGAAATATGGAAAGGAGAGGTTATCCTGAGCTTTTGTAAAAACAGAAAGCAATACAGAACAGAAGTAGAGTTTCATCAAAATAAAATGAAAGAATACAAGTTACTTTCACTTCTGAGTTACAAAATACCAGACTCCTTAATTTCTTCAGGCTATTATTGTGCATCATTAGAAACATACCCAATTAGCTCTTCTCTGAGTTGCAACAGTCGCTGCCTTTTCTTTTTGATGTCTGTTATTACCTGAAACAAATAGCGAGGAAAGTCTTTGAAATGGTTTCTGTAACTTCAAAGGCAAACCACTCAAATTTCATTGGCTTTTTTTCTTTCAGGTTTTATGTTTCTGATTCTGGGTGTGGAAGGTTCCAAGATACCAGGCCATATAAACTGCCATATTTTACATTTGTATTTTAAACACTTTAAAGATATTTAAAGTGTCAAACTCTCATCTCCATCCAAAATTTCTCTTAAGGAACACTGGATTTACAAGCATACGAAAGGAGTTGGTGACATTTTGAACTCAAACATGACCAACTCTAGCAGGTTTTTGTTTGTTTCTGTTTTTAAAATGCAGACTAATATGAATGTATGTTCAGTATGATTGCCATAACTAAGGAACTAAGCATAATTAAGCCTTCTTTAACACAACATCCAATTTAAAAAAAACAAACAAAAAACATAATCATAAATTTAAATTTAGCAACTACAAATCTGGTTTTAAACAGATGTATCAAAGGCAAAATAAGGATAACTGAGTGGCTGCAAATGCTAGATGTGTATTAAAATTTTCATTTTACATGCAGAGTAGCTTACCATATCGCCTCAAATTAACAAGACTTTAGCACATTAATTGCTACCTCCCAAAATAAGCTTTCTGTTGAGGTTACTTGTTAAAAGCTATTTTGTCATCGAAAAGTTTGTGGAAGAGGTTAATCTGGGCAGAAAGCCTCCAGCAGACAGTGCCTAACCTGCTCTTACTTATCTCTGCTGTAGGGCATTCACCCCTCTCCTGATGAAACCACTGCGATGTCCTTCTGCTCTTACACTAGTTCCTCCTCCCGTCGACACTCCCCTGTTGCATTTTCAGTCAATTACTACTCGCTCTGAATGAACAGAGGAACTGCCTTCCTCCGAACAAAAATTTTGCATATATTTAGGGACTGCAGCTCCCTTAGACTTCTCTCCTTTAAACTAAGCAATCCAATTCTATCCTAACAGCACCATGTTTGCTGCTCTCCTAGATTTTATATTCATCTACATTTCTTGAAGGTTAGCTCTCAATATTTAATTGGCTCTCCAAAGGCCTCACCAGTACTCATTAAAAAAAAAAAAGAAAAAAGTAATTCACATGCATAGACACCGATACATCCTAATGTGCATTCCTTCTTTTTACACCAGTATAGCAGTATACATATGGAGTTTGCAATCAATCATATTTACTCAGATCTTTTCCAAAAAACCTCTGGTGGTTCCCTATCCTCTATTTGTGCAGTTGATTCTGTAGTGCAGTGCACTTTTTTGTGAATTATTTTATTTCTTCTAGTCAGCTTCTTGAAATTTCAGTGCCCACCTCTGCATGCTGTACAATCTAGTGATATATACATATTTACCTTAGCATTTTTTTTCTTCATATTCTTCAATTCCTGGGCTTCCACTATCTACAGAGGAAAAGAAGAATTACAGATTGACTATGGATCTTGATTTCATCTCTAGCCTCCTAAAAACACAGTTGCAAGAATTACTTTGGAGTAACGTAAAAAGCTATTTAAAAAAACCAGCACTGGTTCAAACGAAGATTACAAGTTATCAGTTGTGTATCAATTCTTTCCTCACTCCTCATGCCAGAGGAAGACTGTTCCACAAAATTAGTCATCCTGCACCAGTTAGTGCAAGTAATACTCCTTGTGCCAATTACTGTAATACTACCTAGCTTAATTTTTCTATAACTTTAAAATGTGTAAATCTAGTAATTTTAAAACTTGCCCGTTCTAATGAATCGCTTAGAACTATAGTTTTAGTACTTACCCATTGTACTTATCACAACTCCTACAAAGTTCTGAGTTTATTTTACTCATTGTAATTAGTGACAAGAAACCTTAGTATTCCAAGCTAATAAGTTTTTTACAGTCAGGTTCAAACTGTTAATTAAAAAAGGATGATTTTCCCTGAGCTATGTTAGAGGCCTGACTAAGGCCTCTACACAAGAATCACTGGGACGCAGTATAAAAACTAAATCCTCAACCTTTTAAAACTCTAGTCCATAAGCTTTTAAAACAGTGTTTGACGTAACTGTTTGCTCATTCAAATTATGCAGCTTTCCAGTTTTACTACATAATGCTTTAGAAATGACAAATATTAATAATGTTTCCCTATTCTCAGAAGCTGACAATTTTGCAGTGTACTTGCATAACA